GAAACACTATTGCAGCAGTGTCTTTGGTCAGTAGCCAGGAAACCAAGCCATTTTTCTCTGGCCTCAACCATCATTAATTCTTGAGCATGTCCCACAGATCTTTAATAGCTGCTTTCACAGGATGGGAACCCTACTGCTAACCTAACAAGCTGGGCTCTCTGAATGGAAAAAAGATTTGATGCCTTTGTTAAGTTGATCTCTTTCCTCTGCCAGCAGTGTGGGACAAATGAGCTGCTTGATAATAATTCGCTGTCCTGGAGTTACCAACTGTATCTCCGAACGCAACAAAAACATTGTCCTCCACAGTGTGATTAAAGTGGCTTCCTGGAAAGGTTCTGCGTAGACACGGGCCGCTGAGACAACACAGGATACATTAAAAAAAAAGGAGTTTACAGACCTGATTGTCAGGGTTTATTTTATACTTTTTTTTGCTAGTAACCCCTAGTGTGACACAACAAGAAGTCAATAAATGTTACATCCACATTTCTTTGACGTGAGACAAGCACAACATCTTCCTCATCAACATTAGACAGAACACAGCCGAAGTCGAATCGCTTTGAGAATTGGGAGATCTCGGGTAAACCCTGCCGGATCCCAGGAAGGCTGAGTGTTTAACACGAATCTACAGCCGCCCTGGATCTCACATCTCCAGCTTGGCTGAGGATGAGAGGCACTCATATAGTTAGTTTTTTTTCTGTCTCTCTCTTTTTTTTTCTGATGATCCAACAACTGGAATATATTTCACAAGTACCTGCAGATTATCAGTGTCAAGATTACGTGACAGAAAGCTTTAAATGCTAGATCTCTCTTGAAAGTTTTTTCCGTCTTTTCTTTTGTTTTTCCCTCAATGTTTTTCTTTCAGAACAGCATTTAAGGGCCAAAAGATTACACCCGCCTGACCACATTAGACAAATTCATGTGATGTGGTTTGCTGGTCAGCCACACATATTTCAACACGAAGGCAACTAACAGCTAATGAAGGAGAGAGGCGAAGGAGAGAATAATGTTATGTATGCGAGGGGAAAGAAAAAAAAAATCTGAGAAATGTCAATTAGAAACACTGTGAGCTGTCTAGTGTTTTCACAGTCTCATCAGTTGCAGAGTGTGCGCGCTGTACGACGCGTTGGAGCGGCTTCAGTTGTGTGCAGCAGCGCGGTGTTTCACCTGCTGCAGACACATACCTGTTGCCGAGGCTGGGGATGCTGTGGATTTGAGGCTTTTGATGTAAGAACAACCGCGTGAATTAATCATATAGCCTTGATTTTTGTCGGGCGGCTGCTTTGTGTCGTCGCTCTTTTGTAGTTGTGGCAACATCAGCGGAGGTCATTCATCTTCAACAAATAGGACAGTGTTTCAATCATGTGATTAAAATGCAAAGTGGTTACTTCGCCCAAAAATTGCGATTCAGAGCAAGAGACATGCACAGTGTCTGCTTTCATCGATTAAAAGCTGCTGTTATCCTGAGCCTGACAGAATATATTAATTTGCATGTGTCTGCCTCATTGTCGCTGACGTTAATTTGAAGTGTGGGATCACAGTATTAATATCTCCTCAGTGGTATGACCAACTACTGGTGTAACTTCTTCAGGAGTTAATAGGCATCTAGTCCTGCTGTCAAAGAAAAGATGAGTAAACAGAAAAGTCTGGGCGCCGAACGGGATTCAAGTCCAGAACAGATTGGTGCCATGTTGACTGTCACAGTGAGAGGACGAAGCATGGGGATCTATTTGGTTTAATTTCTTTGATTTTGTACCTTGCACTGTAGCTGTCCACACAAACCCATACATCAGTGTTTGGATTCTATGACAGCTTTAGTCAACACTGTAATCAATGTGTGCTGTTTAGTTTTTGGTGGTTTTCTATCAAAACCTCATTTCTAATGCTTTGAAGTAAACCAGACATATTTTATAGGCTATTGCGCAGGTTAATTTTAAAGCCACTATGTGTAGTTGTAATCTTCTTGGATCCACTTCACACACAGCTGAAGGATTTCCAATCAGTTGTGGAAAATAACCGCATAAGTCCAAAGGGAATTTGAGGAACTTGTAGTTGAGTATTTGTACTTCTATTTCCAACATTTCAGAGGATAATATTGCGCTATACCTCCACTACATTTTTAGTTGCCATCTCTGGTCATTTGCTATTTTTTAGATTATGATTTTAGATTTTTTTTTAATCACAGGGTAAGCTGATAAAATGCATCAGATGTTCCTTTGTCATGCTTCGTTTATGAGTTGGAAGAAAACAAAAAGCAGCAAATATTGGAGAAAAGTGCCATTAATAACGATAATGCTGCAGAACTTTCCTTATTCTTCTTTGCTGCCTTCTTTCATTGTGTCTCAATACATCAGACTTATCTTGCATCCCTTTGGAGGCGTGCACGACCCCTTCATTGAAAACTATTCAACTGAGCTATTAAACTGCAAGTAAATCAGTTAAAACTAGCTTTAGACTGAGCAGGTACAAATGCTTATCTGCACAGTGAAGCATTGAGGCACAAGTAACACTTTTAAATGTCACATAGACTGATATACAAGGTCTGATCATAAAGTTCAGAGCCTGTAAAAAGCAAAGCCTGATTAAAATTTAAGTCATGCAGCGATATGCTGCTCCGAGTTCTCATGCCACGTTTGTAACGCTCTCTGCAACTCGTGGTCTGCAAGCGCATGAAGCACCATCTGCAACGAGCGCAGGACCTCCTCCACTGTCTAAAAGGTGATATATAAACTTGAATTTCAGTTTGACGAAGAGGAAGAAGTTGCAGGGATCCAGATCTGGTGTGAGTGGGAAGCCACGACTGTGATGGTGCTGCAGAAAGTCTTGTGCCTTTTCAACGCACTGTGAGTGGGCGTATCTTGGCATAATGGCACGCACCAGAGTTCAGGTCGTTTGCACCAAATGTTCTTCCTTAGACGCCTCAGGACATTGCAGCAGAACTCTGCATTGGCAGTCCGACCCTGGGGGACTGATTCCCGCTGCACAACCATGTGAATGCCAAACAAAGCCATGAGCATCCTTTTGGTTATGCTTCAAGACTGCTGGCTCTTCAACTATTTGTAGCCGCAGGCGCAACTCTCATCACCAGCGATGATCCTCGACATGAACGTTGGGTCAGTTTAACACCGAGTTTGACGTGTGCTCTCTGCGACAGCCACTGTAAATCTCATATATGTGTCTTTCAAATGTGGCAGGAGCGCTTGGAGCGATGTATCACTGCACAAGGAGGTAAAATTGGAGTCAGGTACATTTTATAGCTTCTTGATTGGACCTCAAATTAGTCCCAGGGGCCATTTTTCTGTGTGACAGGTATTTTTGCTTTTGATATTTTAATTATATTTAGCTAATAATACTTTTGCTTTACTATTCTTTTGAATATAAGACTTATACTGAACTAATACAGGGTGATTCAGTACTTTTAATTTCATAGACAATCCGAATGCCTTCACTTCTGCTAGAGACCTGCGGCAAACATCATTATTGTACCCGATCCAATTAGACAGGTTTTTGGTTCCTAAGAAATAAGTGGACCAATGAAAACCCCCTAACGCCGGGGTCCAAGTCAGATGTGTGTGTCTACCACAGTTCTTTTCTTTTCTTTTTGAAAGAATCACTGGGTAGTCAAGTCAAAAAAAAAAAGATCAAATTCTACACATCGTGGCTTTAACATCATTTACCCTGTTCACTTACCCTCATTCCTACCTCTGTTTTCAAGTACTTGGGAAGGCAACAGAAAAAAGAAGTTCTACCAGGCTCCTCGCAACCGAGAACGCCGTCTGTGTTAAACCTCATCCTATGATTTCTGCTACTCTATGTAAACACTGACTGCTACCATGCTGCTTGGACACCAGCATGCCTCCTATACTCTCCGTGTTGCTACAAACAGGGAATTTGTGGAAATCACTCTGGTTCCGGCACTCAGCTACACACTGATTTGAGCAACTCGATGCCAAAACTCGTTGCATCTGTCGATTGATCGCCTCCTCTCCTGAGCTACACTTGTGTCAGCGACGTGGAAATCATAGCATTCGTAAAAGGGACCGAAAGGAAAAACATGTCAGACAGAGAAGTGGGAACTAAAATCAGGTTTGTATCTGTACAACAATGTAGCTGGATAATCACTAGTGCTTCGTGTGTGCAGAATAATAAGTAACAAATAGATAATAAAGTCATACTGAAAAAAGTCAGACATGCTTTAAGCTATGTGGTCTCAAATAGGAAGTCTTTCTTTGAAACATATATAGTATATGATCAAACTTAGGGAAAGTCTATAGGTGTTTTTACCTTGCATGTTTTGCACCTGGCCATTCACAAGTACATTTCATTGTAAGCTTAGTACAGAACATCCTGTGCCAAATCTTAATTGATCGATGACTAAGCATCCTCTGAATCATCAGTGTTTGGTGTTTAAAGTATTCTCCTCGCCCAATGTTTGCTGATGTTTTTAATCTGCTCTTTATTTGCTCAAAGATCGAATCCAAGTGGTCGATTTTTGGGGGGTGGGAGTGTGTGCATGTGCGTGCGTGTCTGTGGCCACCAGCAAGCGAGCATACCTGGCAACAGAAAACAGTGCTATTAGGAGAGAAACATGGGGCCTCATTCTTACAGATTGTCACAGAAAAATACCGGTGAGGATGACATTTTTTCAGATTTGTTGTTTGTTTCGTTTATATTCTGGAGAAGTCCTTTAGTCTCCCATGTGAGGTCATGCCACTGTCCCAGTTCAAAAATATCTGGCTGGCAATGGCCTGACTTTATCATCTTCTTTCTATCCCCGCCACCAACTGCAGCACAGTCCCCGCGGCCCCCCCACCGACACTGGATCTGTCCAATAGGGAGGGAGGTGAGGCGGGACGTGCGGCCCCACTGCTGACCAGTCAGAATTTAAGCTGTTGTTTGTTTCGTTACCTTTTGTTGCGGTTTTTGTTTTTTGAGAGCGCAGCAGTGGGGCGAGTCTGTGGCTTGTCCTGGCAGCCAGGGAGAGGGTAAAAAGGGGGGTGGGGTTATGTCTCCTCCTTGTCGGGTTTGTTGACTGGTTTGCCGCCGTTCATGACCACCGGTTCACTGGTTGTGCTTTTGGAAGGCGGACCCCCAGCGAGTTTAGGCACCGCCTCTCCTACGTCGTGCAACGAAGGCTCCCGGTACATCGCAACTAGAGGGGCGAGGAGGGATGTAGAAGATACAATAATATTACACACTTTCAGAGATCTGCAGTGAAATGAAATATAGACTAAAACCAAAAGTGTTACCTTCTATAGGTTTAGGCAGGAAGTGTGCAGCTGGTTTGGTCTTTTTGACCCTGTTGCCCTTCATGGCCTGTCCTTCTTTATTGAGGCCTAGAAACCAGGCTCGACCCGACTCCTTCTGTCTATAGAGCATCGAGCTGTAGATCACATAGTAGTTCTCAAACACCGACTCCTTAAACTTACACTCTGCTGTAAACAGTTCCTGAGGAGACAGACAGAAACACAAAGAATTATTTATTGCATTGCTTAACCAGAGTTCTAAACACCTGCACATTTATTGTTATATTCATATAGCGAACTCATGAGGCATTCAGTTTTTCTCCACTGACAAATTAAATACTGATCTGATTGATTGCCAGGGTGAAAAATGCTCTGCACTGCGTAGACCTTAAGAAACAATAAACAGACACTGATGAAATAGTTGGAGGCATAACTGCATCTCCACAGGACACTGTGATCACCTGCTCAGTGAGAAAATTCATTTACAAATCCATTATTTTCTGCTTTCAGTTTGAAAGGAGTAGAAAAAAAAACATACAAGAAAAACATTTTCTTTGTTTTTAATAAGAGCCTACCGATACGTCGATCAATACGGAGCGGAAACTCCTGCAATAAATGTTATATTGTTCTGTTATGTGTTTTTATAGACATGCATTTATAGAAACTTGAGCTGTTGATACTCATTTTTATCATTCTGAGGTACCAATATCAAGTCATGATATACGATCACATAGCCCACGAGAATGACAACATCACAATATCTGTGCAACTGCAGGATTAAAAAAAATACCCCTTAAAAGGCAAAAAAGCAGGAGTTATGTATTTATTCACTGCACTCTGGTGTCAGTGCATGTGTGAATTATCATTATTATTCCGTTTTAATAATGTGTCAGTTCAATTATTAGCTCTGTGATTTGCTGCCCGCCATTTCCTCCTGTGAGTTTCTTCTTCTTTGCAGCAAGTTAGTCCACTTCTGTTCATGTTTTCATTTGATAATCAGCATCACCAGGAGTCATTGATGATTACTGACTCAAACTGACTGTGGGGAGTGCTTGCATGTCTGAAAAAAAAAAAAAGTTGATATTTGGCCAAAGCGTATTGATAATTAATCGCATGAGAATATAATACGATATATTGCCATAATGATATTTTGTCCCTCCCCTAATTGATATTACTATCTGGCTCAGAAATCCATGATGGAATCCTCAGGCAAAACTGGAATGATTTATCTGGTCTGGCATCTGATACTGTAAAAAAAATAATAGGCATATCGACCAGCCGCAGACAGGGAGGAGAAGCACAACGCTGACTGAATGATGCACTGCTCTAACCCATGTCATTCTCGTTCTCCCCCCGATGCTCTCCGTATGCACACAAACAACAAACTAAACAGATAAAAAAGCAGATTGATTCCGGTGACACAAAAGCCCAAAAGATCTCACCTTCCCACCCACATCAGCTCCACTGTTATGTGTCAAAACTCTTTTCCATGGGTGCCGGCGCCTCCAGCGGAGCATATTTCAGCACAGAGACAAGGTGTTATTCTTACTGGGAGAAAAATCGTCTCTCCCTTGTGTCCGCTTGCACTACTGAGTCACAGCAAGTATAAAAGGCAGCCTGAGATAAAAAAAACATTCTTCTTTTGGGGAGGTCAGAATAGAGGCAGACTCAGAAGTCGGGCTTCAAAATTCCAGATTGCACATCAGCAAGCTGCAATTTCTCAGGCAACACATATAATACATCTAAAAGCAGTTGTCACTGATATAAAATTCAAAAGAGGGAATTTTCCGCTGTTTTTTTTTTTCTCTCCTTCATACGATGAATACAGCCTGAAATCAGGTCGGAGAGTAAGCTTTCCCAGTAGGGCTGCAAAAGCTCTGAATTTCATCATCAATTAATTTTTGATTAGCAGTTTATTCAGTGAAATGTCAGAGAACATTGTGCTTTTTCGGAAGATAAATTAATAGATCGTGAGATTAAGTTAAGTTGGTTTAGGCGCTATTTTCCATAGTTCTGAGCTTTAAATCACAGTCTAGTGTCTTAATTAATGTGGGAGAAGCATTCAGCAAAGCAGCTCTATCTGTTATGTCCTTTTACTATGTGAATAAGATTAAATTACACTCCAGTCTTTGCGGGGAAATTGGACTATTTTCAGTCATTATATCAAAACACAAGTGATAATTAAGATTACATGGTAATATGGGAGAGCAAAATAATAACAGTCAAACATACTGAGGCAGAGAAATGCTTGGTGTCTGTTTGTGGCTGGAAATAAAAGGAGTTTCTGGGACTGGAAACCAAAACAGTGAGCTAGAACAGGCTCAAAAGCTTCTGAGAGGAATCCCTGTTTGATAATTCTGTGTGGCTGTGGGAATAAGAAGCACTCCATTATAATTAGTCACTGGTCCAACAAATATTGACTACAGTAGCTTCAACTAACCTAACTGCAATCAAAGCATTTATTTTATTTCTCCTTGTATGACAAGAATCTCCCTGTATTGGTTCAGCATCTGATCATTTTGTGACTGAACTCTCGTTTAGCATACAAAAACGTTGGGATGTCTGCTGCAGGAATTAAAAAAAAAAAACCCCAACAACATAGTGCTAATAAACTGCACCTCATATGGCTGAGAAGGCTCCTGCCAACCCAAACAATCACCCCCGAGGTCCCCAGACCCCAGATTGGGAAGTGTTTGTCTAGACTGTCTCTTATTGGCTGTTGTGGGCCTCTTGCCAGAGCCACAGACACATTGTCATTCCGCTCAGGTCTGTCGGTCCGAGTCTCATAGCAACATGAGGAAGAGAGGCGACACTGTAGCCGTGGCAACCAACCAGTGCCGAGAGGGAGGGGTCAGTGGGTGGGTGGGTGTGTGTCTGAGGGGAGGGCTGCGAGAGCGAGGGAGAGACACACACACACGTAAACACTCGCATTGGTGATTTAACACAATAATAACGTGTTACATCGCATGCTCTACCATATCCACTCATGCTTACATAGGAAGACACTTAAAGTGACACTTATTAAAGGTAGGGCTGGGTGGCACCGATGTGTAGCTGCGAGGGATCAGACACTGGCGCACACACTTGTGGCTCCAGGGGATGAATGGAGGGAGGGCTTGCTGGGATATGAAATGTGACTAAATGATTGGTTGGCGACAAAACAAGACAGGTGATAATGAATGAACGCTCTATTTATTGGCAATGTCAGTGACACCCACACACAAACACGCCGCAGCAAATCAAATGTTCTCCTTTGGTAACCATGGTTTTGATTTGTATTAACGGCGCGGTTGTTCTCTGTAGAGCTTAATATTTTTCATTCTTGGATTAAATTAACTCGGTAATATATATTTAGTCTTGACCTGCACCCTGGATTCATTATTCATTTGTTAAGGAGGGATGATCGTGTGCAGAGAGCAGTGCCAGACACTTATTAATGTTGGTCAGTGAGGTCATACATCATTTAATACTGCTTTTAAAATAAAAGATCTTTGATGTCGCGTCTGAAGCGGCGGCGTTTATTCCAGAGTGAATTCAGAGAAGAATAAGTGAACTGTAAGAAGGACTTCAGAAGAAAACCTCACAGCCTTACAGGTGAGTCATTTTAACAACACTGCCTGCCTGAATGTGTTTCTGTCGTCATTTCTAAATAGCTATGTTCACAAGCTGCCCACAGAAAAGGAGACGGGGAGAAAGAATGAATGAAAGAAACGGAGGGCGGGGTGGGGTGGGGGGGTTGGAAATTGGGACATGAAGGAGAGGGGAGAGAAAATAAATCACCAAGAGAGGAGGACGACGCCTCCTGATTGGAAAACAGCGGGGGATTCTCTCTCTCTCTCTCTCTCCCTCACTTCTCTTATCTTTGTATTTCTCTCATCGTTTGTTTTTTTTTTTTTATTCTGTCATTTCTCCGCACGCTGCAGAGATTTAGCGGAAGTACACACACTACACACATGCATGCACATTGTTATCTTTTGAATTACACACATGCATGCATGCCAGACTGAACCGCCGCTGTTTTCTCTGCCAGCCGTAATCAGACCGAGAAGAGCCCATTAACATGTTAAACATCCCGCTCCAAAACAGACTAAATTGATACAGGCAGCACTTTGTCCCTCGTCCATTAAAGACCTAAAAATAAGGAATTCAAAAAAAACTGAGAGGGAAAAGCAATCTCAAGGCTTGGCACTGCACAGGGCTGCACTAATAACAAAACTTGGCGACTGGCTGTTTAGTACTACCAGAGCTTGACAACTGGCCACTGGGAACTTCCCAGTAGAAGCACAAATACACGGTTCAACAATAAACCACTATGAATTCATACCGTGCCAGGGTATTCTCTCCCCTTTTTTTTTGTAATTTACGAAAGCCTCTGACTTGCAGGCAATTAGGAGCATGTCTTGTTCAAGGGAGCTGAATGAGTGGAGGACTCTGTGAAGGAATGCAGAGAGTTTGGGCTTGTGGCTGTGACCCGGCTGACCAGTGCAGCTGCTGAGTGACAGCAAAGGCAACAAGTTCTCACTTCGAGATTTGATTGTCCTCGTTCATGGGCTAAAGACGGATTGATTGATTGACTGACTGACTGAAGCTGGTTTCATACTTAACCTGCTGAACCCTGCATGTGTTCTTTTGCACTGCAGGGTTTGATGCATTTGAGATTGGTGACAGTCAGATTAGAGCAGACTGACGACATGATGCAGTATGTTGCACAAACATGTCCACAAAAAGTTGGACAATACTGTGTGCACGGCAGATTTATTGAGCCACAAATAAAGCTCGATTTGAATTCTGGTGTTTAATCTACACAGAGCCTATGCTGTAGTTTAGAGAAGTGGCCTGTGCCATTTTGAGCATTCAGCGCTGGTGTGTCGCTCTGCAAACACAAAACCCCAGTTGGCGTCGGGCTTCTAGCACTCTGTTCAGTTTCTTTGTGTACTTTAAACAAGATCAGAGTAGATCATGTTGGAGTTGAAGCTAATGAAAGCTGAACAACAGCTGCTCTCACCAAATCGCAGAAAAGAGAGAAGATGTCAGAACCAATTGAGCCTATACATGAATTAATAGAGCTATAAAAATGAGAAAAAGGCTTATGAATACACTGGCAGATTACTGATTATTGTGTTGACACTATGAGCATAAATCCAGCGTTAGACAGAACTGCTCGTACATGTGCTGAGGTTCAAGGTGGGGAGCGGATGAGAT